TAATGTACGAGGTTTTTTCATGGTGTAGAAGCGACTAAAAAAGATCCGCGTCCACCGACGTCAGACGTCAGACCAGCCAAGACGGAATAAGACAGCTAAACCTATTTTTAGCCCAGTGCGTTATGATTACGAGAACAACAGACAGGACAGTTTATTTATTCATTTATTTATCACTTTAAAAAACTAAAAAGCAACAAAATATAATTATGGGGAACATTGTTGGTAAGTTGGGACGATGAGAAAGGAAAAAAAAAAAGAAAAAAAAAAAGCTGGGACTGGGATTCGAATCCACGCAAAAAAACAACAACGTCTGCTTCCCAACGCAGCCATCAGAACTTTCATCGGCGTAGGGTAAATTAAGCTTCATATACGGCACTGTTTCAGTAAAGGCAAAACGACACAATAAATCGAGATGTAGATTTAGAATCTAGGCCCAGATCTAGTGGACCGGCAGATAATGTCTGGAGAGAACTAACAGTTGGCGGAAAATTGGAAGCACTAAACATTAGAGAACGTAGATCTATCTAGATCTAGACACGTCCCTAGCTAGGTCTAACCTGGCCTATTTTTAGCTCTCCCGAGAACGAAAGAATGATCTAGATCTAGGTCAAGTGCTTTAATTTCAGGTTTTTTTTTTGCTGTTTTTCAGCACAGATTTGCTATTGTACAATATACTATATTGAGATACAACTTTATTGATCATGTAAAGTACAATGAAGAAGCAAAAATGTACTTAAAGATGCAAATTTCCTTCCAAAATGAGTCGAATCGAGACTTTCTTAGTCCCCTACACGACTGACGAAAAAGCGTGCATGCAGGAAAATCGCGTAGTCAGGCAAAGGCAGTCAGTGACTGACAAAAACCAGCTCATTTGCATGTGAGCTTGGCCTGCAAGTGACGAAAAAGCGCAGTGGACGCGGGGCCTAAGCGTGGCTGGACAAAGAAATAGAAACAAGAACTATGAAGGCAAATGCAGTGACCTACCAGCTAGCACCCCCGCTCAGTCACGAAAACATCCCAACCGAAGTGAAATCCCAGCTCATCAATAGCATCTTCATACCAACCTTAACATACCAGTGCCAAACATGGTCTCTTAACAAGGCACAAGAAAGAAAAATCAATGCATGCGAAATGATGTGTCTCCACAAAACCATCAACGTCACCTGAAAAGACAACATAAGAATACCCCCCGGGGCGGTGCCACAGACTGAAGTGTCTTTAGGCCAGTCCCAAAGGGGGGACATTTCTCGTTCTAGTGTACAGTAGTATTGTAAATGGGCTGATCTAATAATGCCTTGCTCATAACTGTGCCTGAGCTACAACAGGGAACTGCTGCTTTTTCTTTCGTAATCCTTACTATCGTCATTTTCCTCTACTTCTTTTGTATGTTTGTCACACTCTTGTGACCCGCTATTTCCGGGGTGCCGATGTAGTCTAAAACAGCCGTATGCATTGCTCACAGCCGGACGCAGTATCTCGGACTCTAGCATGGAGACCATCAGGAGAGAATGCATCGCTGTTTCGGGCTCTTCCTCTCTACAGCTTTTCTGACGCACCGAGCCCCCTCACCGATGTGAGGTCTCCATGCTAGTCCCACTGTTTTCCTCTGCTGCCAACTTTTAAAATTCATTCCAGCCTGCGTCTTCTTGCTTCAATCAGATACAGTGACTGGCTTCCTCTACTGTCTCCTGAAGGGAGTTTATGAGTTCGTTGCTTTTCTTTGCACTAAGTCCTGCCATTCTCATCCACTTACAGACGCTAGCTGTTACGAAACCTCTGCATCTACCTCTACCGGAAAATGGGTTGCTTTCCTTCCTGCTTCCTCACATTGTTCGACAAGTGCCTCGTATCGGTTTTCTTTCCGCTTATGTACGGCATAGATATTGCCCTCGAGGGGCACCGTGAGCTCTACCAAGTGCACCTCTTTCTCTTTTTCCTCCCATAACACCAAGTCTGGCTTTTTTGTAGTTGGGATGGGGAAGAATCTCTCAAAGTCCTTTAAGTCAACAGCTACCTCCCAAGTGCCTCCGCTCTGGTCTTCCATGGCATCGTTCGCTTTCTTTCTGCTGGGAACCTTGCTTCCTTGCGGAACAAACGCAGTCTTGGTGATTCCATGCTTCTGTAGCTTGGGGGCGTATTTTCCTTATCCCACCTGTTTTGTCGCCATTGACAGTCGAAGCAGACTTTGTGCTGTTGAAGCTAGAGAGATGAGCAGAGTAAGTCTGATTCCTTGTAAGGACTTCTCTGTTGACATCCACCCCTTGGCGCTCATATGACCTTATACAGTTGCGAGCGCCGTAAAACCTCTACTAAAACAAACAAAGAGCATAAGAATCGAAACCATTATTATCACGTCTAAAAACGGGAATACCACCAGTAATAAAATTCATAGACCGTCAAATAGTCAAATAGTTTGGACATCTAACCTCGCACGCTCATATGACCTTATGGAGTTGCGAGCGCCGTAAACCTCTAACTAAAACTTTAAAAAAACTAGGACATCTAACCAGAATGCCCCAGAAACAATTAGCGACTAGAGCTTACAGAAACCCGAGAATCTGGCTTTAAATAAAAAGGAAGACCAAGAAACACCTGGCTGGATGGGTTTAAAAAGGTTCTGGAAAAAACATAACATATCTGTCACAGACGATACACACCTAGCACAGGACCGAAACCTACACCTCCAGGGGCGGCTGGTGGTTTGTAGAACTGACCGGCTGTAATTCCCATCGAAACCTCCCCTC